TCTGTGTAAGTGTCCTTGCCGTACATCCCAAGGGTTCTTACATGACTCTGTGTAGCCAGATTCTGGGACAAGAACCTTATTATCTTCTGATCAGATCAACTGGAGACACATATCAGATACAATAACATTAACCCCTAAACATCAGGCAACAATCCAGTCATGGCTCAAGAGGCCACTGCCACTCTGTGGTAGTGTTGGGAGGCTTACAAGTAATCCGACTGGCTCCCAAGGGGCTGGGTCGGCCCCAAAAGCACAATAACATTAAGAAATGGCTCTTTCTTTTGAAAATGGAAAGCAAGTTTTCTAACTGTATGAATTGCTCTATGGCTCTATCCAAAGTCCCCATCTTTGGAAACACTAAATAACTGAGGGCTTGTCTACACTACCGGCCGGATAGACGTATAGATATGATTAATTGACCGCCGATTGCTCTAGCATTGACTCGATACTCCACCTCAACGAGAAGCGCAAGGGGAATCGACTGGAGAGCGGCTCACATCAACAAACCGTAATGAAGACACCGTGGTAAGTAGATCCAAGTACGTTGACTTCAGCTACATTATTCACGTAGCTGAAGTTGCATAACTTATTCTAGAGACTATCAAGTGGGAGTGGGGAGGTGCTATAATCTCTGTATACAGCATTAGTAAGACTATTCCTGGAATGCTGTGTCCACATTTCAAAAAGAATGTTGAAAAATGTGAAGGGTTTCAGAAAAGAGGTATAAGAATGATTCAAGATCTGGAAAACCTGCCTTTAAAGTGAGGAACTAAATAGATTGAGCTCCTTTAGTCTATCCGAGAGAAGGGTATGTACCAATCTGATCACGGTCTGTAAGTACCTATGTGAGGAGAAGATTTCTGATAGTAGAGGGCTCCTTAATCAAGCAGACCAATGCATAACAAGTCCAAATGGTTGGAAGCTAAAGCTAGACAAATGTACATCAGAATTAAGACCCAAACTTTTTAACAGTGAGTGCAATTTAACCATTGGAATAACCAGTGGATATTGTGGACTGTCACTTGGAGTCTTTACATAAAGATTGGACATCTTTCTAAAATATATGTTCTAACTCAACTAGTTAATAGGCTTGATTCAGGAATTACTGGATGAAATTTTTATGGCCTTAAAATCTATAAATCATAGTAAAATGACCTAACATTGACCAGCATACATACAAAATCTTTTAATTGCAAGAAATCCTACCTGGAGGATTGTTCCCTGAAAGAAGACTTTGAAATGATGGTAACTATGGATTGACATGGGGACGGATCATGTCCATTAGCAGAAAAATCCAATAGGGGAGGCAGAATCCCACAAATTTAAACCTGCAGCATTTCTGAGGTGTCATGTGTTCGGGGCTAGTGTTGGCGTTCTGTAGAGTGATCAGGTGTATGTATATGGGGGTAGCCCCATCAAAACCCTTAAATGTCTTGTAGGTCTCACTCCATCTGAGTAGAGCAATATCCATCTGCGCTAACTGCCAGCCTCTTCCAGTTCTCCCGGGCAATACAGCAACCCCAGGACCCATTACTCCCTCAGCTTGCGATCATGCCATATCCTCCAGGGAAGTGGCAGAAGGTGCAAAGCAGGTTTCCATTGACAGTAATGCTGAATGATGTCCTTGCACCTTCCTTTTCTGCCTGTCTTGTAGGCTTAGACCGTAAGCTCGTTGAGGTAGGGGACTGTCTCTTTACAGTGTGGTTGGACAATGCCCAGCACAATGGGGCTCCAATCTAGGTAGGAATCTCTAAGCGCTCCCATAATACAAATTTTAATATGTCTAACACCACGGTCTATGGGAAATTCCACAATAATTTTTACAGTTAATCAATGGGATGATGGCATGAAAAGAAGCCCCTTGTGTTTTAGGGGAAGCAGAGCCTAATACCTTAATCATCTATAATAAAGTCATATTAAAGATTAATTTGGTGCACAGAATCTCAAACACTCATTGTTTATAAATAGTAACTTCCATGCTTTCTTGAGGAATATTACTACATACACTTCTTTCTTCCTCTTACATACTTGGGCCTATTGAAATCATGGCCCTATTGAAGTCAATGGAGTTTTGTGACTGGCTTCAGTGGGGTCAGGATTTGAGCCTCACATCCCTTTGATCACCTCTAAGTATGAGCAGAAAGGATGATTTTTCTACATGAATTTCTTTATATTGTTATTGATATACTGTTAGTAATTGTATTTCCAGTATATGTACTTCAGTGCCATTATATTTAGGTTTTTTTTAATTTATCATTAAATAAAATTTTGATGTATTTCAGTCTTCAAGACTATTCGTTACACTGACAGTTTGTCAGTGATGCAGGCTCAGAGCATAGCTGAAGCCCTGTAAGTACTTACAGTATTTTAGTTATGGGTAAGAATTTTGAAAACATTTTCTTTTAATTGGTGGTTGTGGGACACTGAGTTAATGCATAGTTAATGCCTTTCACCTTTAGAAGTCAGAACTTAAAACACTGCTTAGGTAATAGTTAATGCCTTTCACCTTTAGAAGTCAGAACTTAAAACACTGCTTAGGTAAAACATGACAATGGATTTTAGTTCTCACAGTATATTTGCTGATATTATTAAACTACAATTGTTTGGTATGATTCACAGTTTGCTCTAGACTGGAAAAGAGGGAAATTGCTGTCAGGCATGACGTCTGCTTTGGTGGATGTGTGTAGGAAGGCTTGCACGGCACCTACCTAACTAAACTATAACTGACTCTAACCACTAAAATGCTGTGTAAATTTACAGTGCTAGATAGATTGATATTTATTATAAAACATTTATCACTAATGTGACTAATGAAATCACTAATAGTAAAACAATAAATAGGCAATTTTAAAAGACTTTTAGCATGCTAATAGCATTGCATTGTTTTTTCCCCTAAAGCAACAATCCAAGTCTTTATTAAACTATAAGGCTGAACAGTTTATTTTATCCTCTTATGAAAGCAGTAATCTCATTCCTAAGCCAGCAGTAAATGTATATACTGTTTTGTGGGTAGGTTCTCTTATGGGAACATTGTGGTTATGAGGGGATTTTTGCTAACATTTTAAATGAGAGGACACCAATGAACAATTTTGTAAGATGAGACTATACTTTTATGGTACATACTATTCAGATGTTCCCTTATTTTGGATAAAATGGAGAGGGGAAAAAAGCTTTAAAGTAGTAAGTCTTTAGCTACTGAAATGTTGCAAAAGAGAAACAAAAAAACAACAACCCACCAAAATGTATAGAAAGCATAAGGTTCTATCATTGAGAAACAAAACATTGCTTAAAACTATATTTTTGTGTAACTTACCCTAAGAAGTGACCAGTTTAAAATTCCTCTCTGCATTCATTTGTGTATTCCTGGAGACATAGAGCATTTGGATGGTTTCCCTGCTAAGCTTTCCCAATAAATTAGTTATGTAATTTGGAAAGACTTTCAAGTTTGAAAATTTTATACATAAATAATGCAAGAAATAGTAATAGTGCTAAACTATGGCTGTATTTCAAGTTAGCAGGGATGTGACTGTAGTACGTATTACATCACACACTACTAACACAGGAGCAAGAAACCAGATGGCTGAAACCAGTGAATTCTGTTTTGTTAAGGAAACAAAATAATAACATTCTGACCTAGAAAATACAATGCAGGTTACTTTGGAAAAGTAAATTAAACGCTTGGTGCACAAAGTTAAACTAGAGAGCAACATACCATTTACTTCTAGGACTGCTGATACTGTGTTTTGTTTACAGTCGGTACCTGTAAATTATTTTTTTCCAGGCATTTCCACTGTTGACTAATACTTCAAAAGTTTCACTGAAGACAAAAATTACAAATCTTTTAAGATGAATAAAGAGACTTTTAGAAGTCTCCGGGTCTTAGAAGAATCACAGATCTGGTAAGAATTAATCTGAATCTTTCCCCGATTGTCAAACAACCCAGGCATGAACAAAGTCAAATTAATTTTTAAATTTAATGCAGTGCCTCCCAAGGTAAAATCTAAAGGACAAACAAACAAACAAAACAGGCCCATTTGTTTAACAGGGAGCCGTTGTCTGCATATGTTCTCTCTACATCTGCCTCCTGAAAGGGGGTGTTTTGTTCCCACCTGTCCAAGTAGTTCTGTGCCTATGGGTATGTAAATGAGCGTTAGTGTGTGTGAATGGGTGTCAATGATCTACCTGTCAGTGCCTGTGAGGGTGTTATCGTATATCAGCGTGTGAGTCTGTCTATGGTTTAAGTTATGCATGTGTGTAATCGCGTTAAATAGAGCTGTGATAAAATGACACATGTTCATGCCAAGAATGCGGTTTATTATTAACGTAGATGTTAGTAAAGATGGTGTGTGTGTGTGTGGGGGGGATGTCTCTGCGTGTAACTATCTCTGTAAATGTGACTGCGCGGGGTTTCCGTCTATGTGCAGCTCTGTATCTGTAGGGATGGCTGTTGTTTGTAGCAGAACAACTCTCTGGGTGTCAGGAACTTCGCTAGGCGGTGCGTTCCCTTCCCACTTCTGAAAGCTACAGCCAGCTGGTCAAGGAAACTAACCATAACTGCTGGATCCTTCCCTGCTCTCTCTCTCCCCCTCTTCCACCCCCAAAAAGCGCTCTGGGTGGCAGAAGGGAGGGTATGTGGAGCTGAGCTAACACGCGCCCGTCAGAAAGCAGCTTCTCCCGGAGCCGCTGCTGCGTGCTGCGCTCCGTCCCCTGTTCCCGGGCTTGGAGCCGAGGGGGGCCGGAGCGGAGCCGCGATTGGGCTGGGGCTGAGTGGGTGGCGGCCACTCCCGGCTCTGCCGCCGCCTAAGGAGGCTGAACTCTGCTCCTCAGCCCGCTCCCGCCTCCTGCTCCCTCCGCCCTCGCCTAGTGCCGAGCGGGGCTGCGGCGAGCCTTCAAGGTGGCACGGCGGGGACCTGCGCTCCCAGCCGGCGCGGGGAGTGAGAGGCACATGCCGCCCTCCGGGCGCCCCTTCTCCTGCCTTCCGGAGCGGCTGAGCAGGCGGCGGCAGGGCGGGGGCCGGATCTCCGAGGAGCGGACCCGCGGAGCTGCCGGGAAGGTAGGATCGCCCAGGGAGCGCGGCGGTGCCCGGGGCAAGTCGGCCGTTGCTTCGCCCTGCCCCGGCGCGCTCACGCGAGGCGGCACCGGCAGCGCCCACAAGTTTGGCGCGGCTGCCCCAAGCCCGCCACGGCTTGCCCCGTGCGCCTGCCCCAGCGGCGGCCGGGACTCTTGGTCCTCCCCGCGGAGGGAGAAGGTGCCAAGGGTAGCGGGGCGGCCGGGGCAGGTGGAGGGAGCTGCGGGGCAGGGGGTCGCTTAAAGGGCCCCCCGGGGGCGGGGGTTGGGGGTAGCCCGGAGCCTGAGGTGGATGAAAGGCGGAAGAGCGGAAGCTCTGCGAGATTGCCCGGGGGAGGGGAGTCCCTCTGGAGGGGCTCTAGGCTCACCCCAAGGGGGCAAATATAAATCACTGCTTTGGGCGGGAACCTGGAGCAGACTCCCTCTTCTGCCGCTGCCCCCTTTAGCCTCCCCTAGTCTGCCCTTCTCTTCTCCCCGTTAGCCTCCTTCAGCTTCTCTCCCTCTTCTATTGAGCCCCTGTTCCCTTCTATGACACCCTTACCGCCCTTGCCACAGTCAGCCCCTCTTCTGCCAGTTCCTAATCCCTCCCTTGTGTGTCTTTCTCCCCCCCTCCCTCCGCCCCTTCCCCTACTTTGGTCCTGCCTGCTTCATTTCCCTCTTTCAGTTCCTGCCCCTTTCTACTCCCAATGCAGTCTGTACCCCCATTCCATCATCTCCCCATCAACCACTGACAGCCCCTGATGGCCATCCTTGGGGCACTGGTGCAGCAGCCACTTCCTCCTTACCCTCATTGTTTCCTCTTTGCTCATGCCAGATTCATGTCAGCTGGGGTCTAGCAAGGAGAGTAACAAGGGAGGGAGAGGAGAGTTGGCCTGGCTCCCTGAAGACCCCCCTGTTGTACCATAGCTCCTGGTGGCAGGGAGGAGAAGGATCTGTAGCGGGACTCTGTTGACTCCCAGCAGCCCATCTGGATCTGTTAAATTCTAGCAGGGATGCTGGCAGTCTTCACTGGGGGTGAGGGAGGGTGCCTGTGTCATGTCCAAGTGTCAAGTATCAGAGGGGTAGCCGTGTTAGTCTGGATCTGTAACTCTTTGCTGCATGGCCAAGTGTGACACTTGGCAAGTTTAAATATTTAATAGAAAAAGTTCATGCCCTGTGCTAACCTAAACTGCGTAGAGAAAAATAATTGAATGATTGATGCATAAAATTGAAAAAGTGTACATGGATTCTTCATCTGACAATGTTTGAATAAAAGCAACAACAAAAAATTCTAGGTTCCAACTGGGTCTTTCTTTGCCTTTTTGTTTTAGATGCTTTCTTGTCCCCCCAGAGACAGTTGCTGCTTTAGCCCCAGACCTGTCTGACTTTAGTGGAGAGATCATGACTGAAGTCCTCTTTTCAGCTGTTTTGAATGGGACTGAAACCAACATTCTGTCAAACACTGGCTGGACTCTGGGAAATGCCACTACCAAATGTTCCCTAACCAAAACCGGCTTCCAGTTCTATTACCTGCCCACTGTCTACATTCTAGTCTTTATCTCTGGATTCCTGGGCAATAGTGTGGCGATCTGGATGTTTGTCTTCCACATGAGGCCTTGGAGTGGCATCTCAGTTTACATGTTTAATCTGGCATTAGCTGATTTCTTGTATGTCTTGACACTCCCTGCCCTCATCTTTTATTACTTCAATAAAACTGACTGGATCTTCGGAGATATCATGTGCAAACTGCAAAGGTTCATCTTCCATGTGAACCTGTATGGCAGCATTTTGTTTCTGACTTGCATCAGTGTGCACAGATACACAGGGGTAGTGTATCCTTTGAAATCACTTGGGAGACTGAAGAAAAAGAATGCTGTTTACATCAGTACCCTTGTTTGGGTCATTGTTGTAGCTGGGATTTCTCCTATATTGTTCTACTCTGGAACTGGGCTAAGGAAAAATAAAACCATTACATGTTATGATACTACAACTGATGATTATCTGAGAAGTTACTTCATTTACAGCATGTGCACCACTGTGTTTATATTCTGCATCCCATTTATATTGATTCTTGGTTGTTACGGACTAATAGTGAAAGCTTTGATTTACAAGGATTTGGACAATTCTCCTCTTAGGAGAAAATCAATTTACCTGGTTATTATTGTGTTGATGGTCTTTGCCGTGTCTTATCTTCCCTTTCATGTGATGAAGACATTGAATCTAAGAGCCAGACTGGATTTTCAGACTCCACAAATGTGTGCCTTCAATGACAAAGTATATGCCACTTACCAAGTGACAAGGGGGTTAGCTAGTCTCAACAGCTGTGTAGATCCTATTCTGTATTTTTTGGCAGGTGATACCTTTAGAAGTAGACTTTCAAGGGCAACCAGAAAAGCGTCTAGAAGAAGTGAGCTCAATGTGCAATCAAAAAGTGAGGAAGTGACTCTCAATATTTTAGCAGAATATAAAGTGAATGGAGACACGAGTTTGTGAATGCAAAAGATTTGCAAGCAGTTGCAAAAAACAAAACAAAAAACTGTCTGTTTTTAACACAGTAAGATGCTCTAGTGCCATGACTGGGGAAAATCTACTGAACCGGCCAGCAACCTTGCTCTTTTTGTGTCGGGGAGTGTCTCACTTTGTGAGTTTAAGGTGAACTTAAGCAAAGTAAGTGTAAAAAAAAAAAAATTTAATCGTAAAGGGGGGGGAACGCATCAGATTTCTGTTTTTACCTTTTTTTTAAAAAATGCTCACAATAGTATATCTTTCTGATTGGGGTCAGATAAAAAAAGACAAAGCAAAGCCCATAGAGGAAATAATAGTTTCAAATGTGCTGCTGTTATTAATTCTTTTCTCTCCATTAATAATAACAGATTTTAAAAAAAATAAATCTCCAAGAAAAATAAACTTTTCTGGGCCTCTGTCCATACTTCCATCCATAGCCTCTTGTTTTACACTTACACTGTAAAAAATTGTTTACATTAAGATCATGATGCAGCAATCTTGAACATTATCTTGTGATTTCTGTATCTTCTACTTTTGGAGCAAATGATAATATTTTGGTAGCTCAGTGGTGCCCTTTCTGGTTCTATCTTCGCTGAAGGCTTGATTCCTATAAGGATAGGTTCCAGACCCATGTGTATTATGACTCTCACAAATTATTGTGATTGTACGTGAAAACTAAGGGTGAAATTTTGGCAATGTTGAAGTCAATGCTATTGATTTTAGAGGGGTCAGAATTTCACCCGGATGTTTGCACACAGACTGATGTCTATTTTGCTTTTTGTGCAAGCAGCTACCTATGCACACACAGTCACAGTACATTTTGAGTGTAGATATCACCTACAAATCTGAGTACAAAAAATTGGCACTGCATATCTAAATATCCAATATTTCAGTCCTTGCTGAAGTAAAACCCTCATTGTCTTCAGTGGAAAGAACCAAATAATGGACCTGAATAAGGACTGCAGGAATGGGCTCTGCTTGGACAAATGGCAGGACCAAATTTACAGATTTGGAAGAGGCTTGCTCTTTAGAGTTACAAATTTTGGCCAACACTTCACTGCGGCTCTGACACTCAGCATCTGATGCTGGAAGTTTGTGTGAATTCTCTTACGGTTAACAAACTCTATTATTGAAAACACTTCAATTTTTATCCACATAAAAGCCAGAGATATTTGAATTATCTTGTATCAGAGGGGTAGCCGTGTTAGTCTGGATCTGTAAAAAGCAACAAAGAGTCCTGTGGCACCTTATAGACTAACAGATGTATTGGCGCATAAGCTTTCATGGGTGAATACCCACTTCGTCAGACGCATGTGTACATGGATTCTTCATCTTCATCCACATGCGTCTGACGAACTGGGTATTCACCCACAAACGCTTATGCTCCAATACATCTGTTAGTCTATAAGGTGCCACAGGACTCTTTGTTGCTTGAATTATCTTAACCTTCATTTGGTACAAGCATTTTTCACTTTCTTATCTTGTGTGATAACAAGCTGTTTCCCAGGCAAATTCTTATCAAAATGGGTTAAAGAACAATATTTGTTGGAATCAGAAAAAAAAAAAAAAGATAAACTTCAACCTTTTTTTTACTGTGAATAAAGAATTTCTGTATCAACAAAATGTTGCAATACACTGCCAATAATTTCATGCTGGGGAGTGGGTACCTTCATAATTTATCTCACCCAAATGTGTAAAAGGGTCACCTAAAATTGGGCAGAATAATACATTGTGTAATGCATCAGTTAGTGAGGAGTTGAACACAGACAGAATCTGTGGGGAACAAAACCTTATTTATTTCACATGGATATTGTTTGAAGTGTCTGAAAGTATTATTGAATCTGGCGCACAAAATGGTGTGATATGTAATCAGTAAATGGTTTTAACAAATCCTCAGCCCCCACAAATTTTATACTAGGAATAAAAATAAACTATTTCTATTTTGCTTATTAATTTCCAAGGACTGACTACATGCAGAAAATGAATAGCTCTAGAGATCTCTTGACTACATTGTTAAGCAGCTTACATTCAGAAATATAAAACTACTTAACCTGCAAAAACTATTTATTTAACTTATTTATTGGAAGACTAAGTACAAATGTGAAGTGTTATCTAATAACATTTTAAATTATTCTGTTTTTCATATTTTCATAATTGAGCATTAATGGAAAAAATAGAATGGCATGTTTGAATTGTTGTAATTGTACTCTAATGGAACATCTTTTATAATAAACTCTCAGATCCAGCCATGCAAGACATTTTGGACTACTATTTGCTGTTGATGTGCAGTCTACACATAAATTAAGCTACTGTTTAGCAAGCATAATATTTTACAGTAATGCTAAAAATCTCATTTAATCCTATAAATCCAAGAAAATGTAAAGCTAATGCAAAAAGTCAAGGCTAATGCTCCTCTTTGTGACAAAACATTGTTGAATGTACAGACCTTGGTTCTCATTTATAAGGCTAAGACTACCTTAAAGACCTTACGGTGGCACAGCTATCCCGCTGTAGCTGAGCTGCTGTAAGGTCTCCTGTGTAGCCGCTCTATGCCGGTGGGAGAGAGCTCTCCCGCCGACATAGCTCTGTCCACACAGGCACTTTTCTCTGTGAAACTTATGCTGTTTTCATACCCCTGACTGACAAAAATTTTGCTGACAAAAGTGCTAGTGGAGACAAAGCCTAAGGCTCCTTTACGCTGCCAGAGAATGAGAATCAGCCCCACAGTACATAGGTGTGTAACTATGCACTTATGAGACCACACTTAACTGAGACATGCACTGGTGGGCTTGGCAGATGAATTAAGGATAGTGTCAGAATGGATTTGCAGACCGTGCAATGAATGGGTTTTTATGGGTTTAAAATCATGTTATTTTTACAGTTTTGTGGTCTTTTTTTTCTTTTTTCCTTCAATTAGGGAATAAAATGTTGCACTAATTAGGAACTTTTTGAAGCATGAAACACACGTACTCAATAGATAGTCAATCCTCAGATTCAGATAAGTCTGTATTTAGATACTTTAAAAAAAACATATAATCAACCTACTTTTATTTTTTTAAATGTGTATCAAAGCTATGCTAAACCATATTGGCTATTCATTAATGTATATTAGACCTTAAAAATCAAGAGCAGCAACAAAATTTTAGGGATACAATTGTAACACATAGGTACAGCTCATAATGAGGGGCAGGGAGGATCTGCACAACTCTATGGGAAACTCGAAGGCAATATTTACGCTCCTTAAGTGGCAGAATGCCCGCCGCTCTGCTCCTTTATGGGGTACACCATTCTCCCTACAGCACACTGGTTTCCAAACATGGACTCCTGCTGTGCCTTCCACACAACAGTGGAAAGTTAATTTTTACTCATCTTGCCTGCATACACTCACTTAAAGAGACCAGCCCAATACCTCACTATTGTCCATTGTGGTAGTATTGTATGTAATCAGAATTATTTTTTAAAGGTGACTTGCGGAGGCAAGGCACCTCATTCCAGTATCTTTAGCTCAGTTATGCTCTGGAAATTTCCATGGTGCAGTTAGGAGGGGCATTAAGTACATTTTTATCTTAAAACTTATTCTATTTTCCTTCTTTCAGGTCCTGTGACATTCAGAACTACCAACAACCAGTACCACCATCCTATTCTGATGTGAGTCCCTGACATGCACCATTCTGAGATGACACAACTACCACTGAGTTCAGCTGGAACATGGAGCTGGTCCACAGAATCTCACGTTAAGTCCCCACTTTTTTTTTTTTTTAACATTACTGTATTTGGCACACATTCTGCACCTCAGAGTAGATAGAACTACTGCAAAATCATGGCACAGGATAACAAGAGTGACTCTAACTCAGTGCTCCAGCATGACTACTTTGTACCTGCAACATCACAGCATGGTGTGTGTTGGGTAATCACATCCGAGGAGGATCTGGCCAACTGTCGCAGGGCTGGATGTCATGGGACCAGAAATAAATTGTTTTCTTGCTCAGTGTGGCATAGCTCCTGGGGGAATTTGCCAAATATATTGGTAAACACTACTGCCATTTGGGATTTAATCTTATTAAAATGAATTTAATACTAGTGAAAGGTAACCAGCCTGATAGGCCTTGAGACCAAAGGACCCCCCTCCATCTATTCACAGCACTAGCATCAGCAGAGAAAATCCCCTAACGTGCCTCTCACCACATCTCTCATGCTGACCCTAGTGGAACCACCTCTAGGTATGTGAGGAGAATACAGTTTTCATTTCCATTCAGACCTTTGCTGACACTGCTGAGAATGATGCCATTTAGTGACAATGATGATAGTGGGCTTTTGGACTCAGGCAATCACCTCCTTACACAAAGTCTGCCTAACAGTACTGACAACTCTTTAGTGTGATGGGCTGGACTTGAACCTTGAGCCAGCTATTTTCTCTTGGCATCTTTGCTGGTAGTCTTCTAAATATACATTTATTTATTTAGAGATCCATAAAAGCTCTTGATAAACACTTCTTATTTAAAAAAAAAACACTTTTAAAGAAATGAATATTTGACCTAAACAGAGCTACAATGATCTATACAGAAACAAATGACTGTTCCTGGTATATTTGCATTTTATAGCTCCATGGGGTCAAATTTGCCTCATTTATGCCCATGTGCTCCCAGGAGGGATAATGTCTAATACAAAATGAAGCAACTGTAATCTGGTTACTGTATGTGGGCTGTGGGCACTTTAGAAACTTCAATAGCTTGATATCTTGGCTATTTAAATTTGTTGTTTTTAAACTAGCAGGTTTGAGTCCAGTTTATGCATTAGTAGCCTAATGAAAATTTAATTTTAAAGACACCAAGTGCCAAATTCTGCCACTGGATGCACATGAGTAACTCCCATTGAATTTAGGGATAGCTTCCCCTGCTCATTTGAGGACAGAATTTGGGATTGAATTATTTGGGATTGAGTTATTATTTTATAGAACTATCTAATAAGCATGTTATTATAGCTCAGTGGTTTGAGCATTGGCCTGCTAAACCCAGGGTT